ATGTACATATATAGATTTTGGGTGTAAATATAAATATATATAAATATAAAGAAATATAGATATAGATAGATAGGTGAAGGGGTTGCTGCTACCGCCACCCTAAACCCCACTCCTTGTCAATTCTYATACATCCCTCCTTCATCATCATCCTCTCACATCACAATTTTTTAATATATTTTTTAATTTTAAAATTACATTTTACATCCTCATCCATTGTGGCCGCTTTCTTCATCTGTATTCACTGTCTGCTACCCATTTTACCATAGACCTCGTCTGGGTCAAAGTTGTTTGTCGATGATAGAAGCTCGTCGAAGGTGAACACCAGCGGGAGGAGGCTGGTGGAGCGATGGCGGTGGAGGTAAATAACCATCAGATCTTCTAAATGTGAGTTCTTTCTTATTCTTCTAGAAATGTATGTACTTATCAAGATGAACAGTAGAAAACATACAAATATTACAGCTAAAGACATCATTGCTACTCGTATTTGGGTTTTAAAACCTCCGGTGATGATTTTTGAGGTTGGATTGAGGATTGAAAGCATAAAAATGGTTTATTTGGGTCAAATGAATTGAACCCACAAATGCCATTGATGGATTTGAAAGTTGTGCAGTTTGAAAAGTAAGAATCTTTTTTTTTTCCCATTCAACTTTAATTCCAAATTTCAAGAAACTATCAAGAAACCCTAAAATGTCATATTGGCAGCCTTTTTTATAGAGTTGTGGAGGGTGAATAGATCCACAAGAACGGATAATCTGAAGTGGATTTTTGGTAATTTTACATTCCCATGGACAATGGCTGCAGTTTGGGAGGGTTGGGGACAGGCAATAGCTTATAACTGCATTCTTACTACTCTCTATCCTATTTTATTTCTTCATTTAAAATTGCTGAGACATGAGAAATATTCATATCATAGTCATAACCATTGTTTACTAAAACAGTCGAGGCTTATGTCAGTTTGCTGCATTACTCTTACATGCTCCATAATATCAATTTTGTTAGTCTAAAGAGGCATCAATAATGCTTTTTTTGATATCAAGAATGCTTTTTTTGCCAAATGCACAAAAATGAAATGGAAACAACTAGCTTTACACACTGGATGCTCATTGATCAATATTCCAATCTACTGAACATCTTGCCCAATTAGTAGGAACAAGAATGAACCAGTAGGAATATGTTTAGAACACATACAAGAAGAACCAAAATATTCCAGAACATGGGTAGAGAATGCAAACAGTAGGAATATAAAGAGAATTCAGAAAGCAAAATTAAAACCTCAATACCTCAGAGAAATGCTAGGGTTTTGAAGAAGTTGTGAAGAAATCAAAACATCAAAAGTCTGGTTATATGCACCGAGGAAGGCTTCTTGGTAACCACTCATTTATGCAAAGTTTGCAGCAATTGAAGAAATCATATGCTGACTTTACTTATTTGGTTTTGGTGCAGAACATACATCAACAAGAACTTGGAAAAGAAGAAAAGAGAAAGCAATTTTGACTTTACCCAAATTGATTTGGCTTTGAAGGATCTTTTCTAGAAAAGGAAGAGAAGAGAGAAAGAAGTCTGAACATTTGTCATTCAATGCATAAAAGCTTGTACCACATGCATGATGAGTTGTAATTAAGAGTTTTTTGAAAATCTTGCATAAAATAGTTGTAACCTATGCTTAGTAACTTGTATTTAAGACTTTGTCTTAAATGGTTATATATGTAGTATAGATATAATATATATATATATATATATATATAATAGAGAGAGGGGGGCTTAATCATTTGAGAACTTCAAAATTTGTGAGATCCATGATGACTTCTAAATTATGGACTTATGCTTTTGTTTTACATGATCTATTTTCATCTAAATATAGTATTTAATGTATTGATTAACATATATTTGTTTTACAATATATTTATTTCTTATGTATTAGGTTCATAATGTGAAACTTTAGTACGTGTATTTTATGTTTCATAAACACTCCAAAAATGCTCATATTATGAACTCATACATATGAAACAAATATATGTTAATTATTACACTAAATTTTCGTCATAGATGAAAAAATCATATAAAATAACACATGATACACTAGTTATTAGATATCTCACAGTTTAAAGAGTTCTTAGAATAGACTTGTATATATATTCCTATGAAAACAATAACTAAATAAAAGAATAAGAAAATGGTCAAATCACATGTGATTTTACACTAAAATCACATGTGATTCACGCGCCATGACTCGAGGTCCCGAACCACGTCACTCGCACACCCTTACGTCGTCTATTAGTGTAAAATCACGTGATTTTCCACCTTCATTTGGCTATTTTTGTATTCCCTTATTTTGTTACCGTTCTCGTTTGAACTTATCTCTCTCTCTATATATGTGTGTGTGTGTGTGTGTACGTGGGGTTTCAAACGAGAACACCCTTGTTTTACGAAAATGCGGAAACACTTTTAGGCTTCCAAATTAGTTAACCCATAATAAAAATTAAAATAAATTAGTAGTATTTATCAACAATTTATAATGATCTTAGATTTGTCTTTATCCTTAAATGTTGTTAAAATCATCAAAGACTTTTTATGTCGATGCCTCTGTTATCAATAATGTTGTGATAATGATATGAATATATGATTTTGCTATGATAATAATGTGATAATATTTTGATAAATCGAAAACTTCTTATAATGTGATTTTGCTATGATCATGATATGATTTTACTATGATAAATTGAAAATCAATGATGCTCACGTCCACAATCATCGACCCTATCTGTTCATTATGTGATTGTGATTTGCAGTTTTTTTTCCATTTTACCCCTACATGTATTTAATATTTCTAAAATAGGGTAAATATTTAGTTAATTACTCTCTTAATACTTTTAAAATTGTGACTTAACAATTAACATAATAATTTTCAGGCTCGTTCCTGACATTTGATAGGCCCTGGACAAACGTAAAAACAAAACTCACTGCAAGAAACAAGGCAACGACTTTTGTCGTCGCAAAAAGTTCATTTATCATCAGAAAGAGTATATAACAACGACATGCTATAACTTGTAGCAGAAACATGTCATCTCTAAAAAATGCATCGTCAGAGTTCACTTTTCTTGTAGTGACCCTCGGTAAGTACGGAAAAAAAATCAATAAATTACTTTCATTAGTATAAAATTGAGTAGAAGAAATGCTAATAATTTAGTGAGAAAAGAAATCTCAATAACAAGAAATATGTGTTATTTTGATACAAAAAGAGAATTCGTGTGAATGAAGTAATAATGAGGGTCCATGAGAGATCAATAATAAAGAAGATTATCAAGGTTTTCTATACAAGTAGACAAATGAGGATCAATAAAAATATGAAAGAAACGATGATTCATTGAGATCCAATAAGAATAAATAATGAATTAAACATATAATATGCAAGTTCAACAAATGATTATTTGAACATTTAAATAGAATCTTGTGATGTGGTGGAATCCCAATGAAAGATACATAAGTCAAACAATTGATGAAAATATCTTAATTCTATTTTCCTTCTTTTTTTGTTCAACTAAAATAAGATGTTAAAATTAAAAGTTTATAGAACATGACATGTATAAGAGACATTACTAAATACATCTAGTAGAAAGAAAAAATTATTGATTAATCACAAAACCATGAAACACGTCATAAATTATAAGAACAATAGATTGATTGTCAAACAATAGTAAAAAATATTATTTAGAAGCAAAAATAGATAACAATAGTCAACAAAAACAATTAGAACAAGATAACCAAATAGCAATAGTCAATACAAACATAAACTGATAAAAATATCCAACAAAAATATATAGCAATAGCAAGTACATGATCTTAAAGTTGAATTGTTGAAGCACAAAAACAGTCAAGCATATAGAGATAGCAATAGTCAATATCATTGGACCTTATTGGAGATAAAAAAAAATAGAGCGACAATAAACAATATCATATAATGAATGACCAATTTAATTTTTTTATTTTCTTCTCCAATGAAATTAGTTGATATATTTTTGTGCTCTTATTATCTACTAAATTCTTTTTGCCTCTTATTATATGCTACAATTTTTTGGGTTTTTTTTAATATATTAAATTCTTTAGACTACTATTGTATTTAAAAAAAAATAGGCCCCGTGATATTTTTGGGCCCTAGGCGTGCGCCCGTGTCGCTCTCCCCGGGACGACCCTGATCATTTCTCGCATTTATATAAATCACATATGTTTTCTTGATCATACTTGACATCTTTCCATATGTATGTGTTTGCCTCATTGTTGTTCCCAAGTCTTAAAAGTTGACATCTAACATTAGTAGAGCCGTTATTTCTTTAGGCCTTCCAAATTCATATATCCATCGGTTAAAAACATTAGAGGTGTATATTGCTAATTGCTAATTGCTAATTGCTAATTGCTAATTGCTAATTGCTAATTGCAAAGATATGAAGGGTTGATTATGTAATATGTACAAAAGATGGGGTGTTTTGCAAAAATTGCTTTTATTTTTCATGGTAAATCCCAAACCATGCTTTCTTGGAGTTTCAAAAGTAAAATAAAACCATGGGCATATGTAATTCAGATGGCAGAAACCAAGTCTTTAACTAAAACAATTATTCTATAATGTTTCTCCTAATAATTAGTTGTTCTAATTCTAAGGACTAAGGAGACATAAGGCCTTTTCTTCGTAAATCCAATCCGGACACCATCTCTCTTTCCGATGATGGTTATGTGACCAGTACAGTGTTGACACTCCAAAGGATGGTATATATATAGGTGGAAGTTCAAACAAGAACACGTTCATTTTACGAGAATGAAAGAACACCCTTTGACTATAGACAAAACCAAATCAAATAAACTCGGTATGTCACACAGGGGTAGGATGTACACATACCATGCCACTAACCGAAGGGTAAAGAGGTTGTTTCCATGAAAAACCATGGCTTGCAAAAGAAAAGCGGGAAAAACAAGGAGACACGCAAGAAAAGTAGCATAGTATCATGATATATGCAAACACGCAACATGTATTGTGTGCAGATTATAAGTACTAGGTGTAATGAGTAAAGTATCGAGAATTCGAAGATGACATAAATTTCAGCAGGACGATAAGCAAGAGTGTTTTTGTCACCATTCATCTAGTATTCATGGCTAGATTGTATAAATGAGACTAGATAGACCATTAAGGTTACTATATTTACCTTCTACAGCAGCAGTTAGCAGTCGGTTATGATCCAGTCTTGGCCTAAGCAACAGACTCGGGCTCTGGTGCGACTGCGGCTCCAGCAACATGGTTGCCGGTGGTTGCAGCCGATGCCATCTTTTCATCAAATCCCCAGAATTTTGCAGCTTTGACATCATCCTGAGCCATTAATTTTGAGAAATCTTCATGGTCATACTTCATGGTCGCTTTTCCACCAAACTCGGTTGGAAGATTATCCACATCGAAAAACGATTTTATGAGCTCCAAACTCTCTTTATTCTTTGGGTACACAAATTTCACCTTCTGGAATGTTTTTGGATCCAAGAAATATTTAACAATCTGCACATTGATGCAAGTGGTCTATTATTATTTCTTAATTGGGAATTCTGAATCAAAGCAAATGCATTCACAAAATAATACTACAACATAATGGAGCTTTTTACACCGTTGAAAATCACTTTTTTGCACGGTTTTACGTGTAAAAGTAGATGTTCGGGCACCTTATTATACACGGTTCTATAACCATGTAAGAACGTGATAAAAAAAATGTTAAAATGTGGATCTTTTTACATGGTTATTGACCAAACCCTGTAAGAAGGCACTACCATTTTACACGGTTCTCTCAAAACACCATGTAAAAAGGTATTACTTTTTTACACAGTTTTGGTTAAATAGCCGTGTAAATTGTAAAATTTATCTATTTTAATAGTTCCGCTTAATTTTGTACTAACCAGTATCCAATTCAAGAATCAACAAGATCTAGTTTCCACTAATACTATGAGTAAAAAAAATGTACACAAACCTTCCAAAATGCTTCAAATATTCGTGGCGGGCTGTATAAAATTGCCACAGCTAGCCTCTGAGGGTAGTGATTCTGCAGTATAGTGACAGTATCTCGAGCAGTTTTAATTGGTACATTGATGCTGAAAGACAATCCAGTGAAGTCTATCAACCAAACCATTTCTTCCTGGCCGTCTGGAAGATTCAGGATGGCGTTTTCCATCATGTACACCAGATGTCGGATCTGGGTGTCCATTGATGTTGTATTCTGCAACAAGTGTCATGATAAGAGTTTGTACCATAAAAAGGATGAAGAAATTTGAGATTTCAGAACCATATAATCACCTGCAATCCAGGTTTCATTATCAGAATACTCCTTCCAAAACGGTCACGAAAATTTGCTCTGAAAAGTTTCCCAGTTTCACCTTCAACTGCAACTTCTTGCTGGCAAGTGAAAGAGAAAACAGTTGGTGCAGGTGCAACAATAAGTGGTACCAAGTGAAAACATTCTCTGATTTCTTGTCTACAATTTCTGTTCAACTATGCACTATGCAACTGAGAAGATCTTTTAGGGGCTGTTTACCAACACAAACCGGGTAAGAGTCACCACCTCATTTACACCATCATCTCTGACCAGGTAAGGAGCCGTTTACTAAACGTCTACCTGGGTATGCACTTACCAAGTCACATTACCTTACCGGATGAATATGACAAGGAGTAAGAATCTTACCTGGTAAGAACGAAGGCAAGGACCGGGAGTCTTACCCGATAAGTGATGGTGACGACTCTTACCATGTTTAACGCTTACCGGGTAAATTGTTGCATCTGATGCCGTTTTGGTGGACTAAAATCTTACCCGGTGAGTAAGCGATAGTGTTGAATTTTACCGGTAAACGTTTACCGAATAAGTGTTTGGTAAACGGCCCCTCAAGTGTCTCTTACCCGCTAAGAGGCAGGCCTCTTAATTTCCATATTAAGAAATCAAGAAGAATGCAACACTGATCACATACCCAACGGATTTCTTCTGGTTTATAGGTAGATCTCCAAATAAGCGTCTCTTCCAACATCTTTTTTGCTTTGTCTACATTCCAGTTACGAGCTTCCAGATATCTTTTCAAGCATGCATCAGTGCAATATATTAAATTGCGCCCAGAAAGCGGGCCAAGAGCAACTCTCAGCTCATTGAGCTGCAGTGACAATAAACCCACAGCTGCCTTGATAAGACCTCCCAATTTTGGCACATTTTATAAGAAAAAGCAAAGAATGAACTGTTATTTGTCAAGGATTGTTTATAACTTGGCAAACCATGTAGGATCTAGTAAAAATCTCCAATTTCCAAAAGATTAGAAATGCTAATCCAGATGTTTATGCTGCATCAAAGAGTTTTATCAAATCAAAAGTAAAAATTATAATGTTAGACATCTAGTCGCAGTTTGAGATATACTACAGCTTGTATTTACCTTAGCCTCGGGTTGCTGCTCATGATGCTCCTGATCTTGTTGTTGCTGAGAAGACCCACGACGGCGAAACATGGGTGTGGTGAACAAAGGTACGACTACAGACGGAAAACTTTATCGGTTTTTAGATAATCAAATAATTCATCATAAAGAAAGAAGCAATTCCTCATACCCTCATATTTTCAAATAAAGATAGAACTAGACAAGTCCTTATGCTATATCATGTACAAAGAAAGAAGGGGAAACGCTTAACAGACAAAGGGACATAAATGAATTACAGGTTCAGCCCACAAAATACTTCCTGAAATGCAAATTGGTCTTTGGCAAAGAATAAAGGAAACAAAATAAAAATTATCATGAATATTCATGCAAAGAAAGCTAATTAAAATCGAATTCTATTATTAGAAACAGTAGGCGATTGACGATTCAACTTTCATCCATACCAATACCAGACACCACTCGGCCAATAAATACCACAATACCAAGTAGAGTTCGTAGCATACAAATTACTTTTCTTTTTTTATTTAAAGAAGTATATGCAGTAGCACCCATCACCAAAAATGATCTACATCATTAAGAATTCGCCAAATAAAAGCCATGGACAACAAAGAAGTCCGTCTTGTCAAAGACCTGTTTGTGAGTTTATATGGTTTTGAATACTAATACGACAATAATCGGCAGATTTCTTGTCAAACTCATAGTAGGCTCTTCTAAAATTTAATTCCATTTGTAGAAACAATTGTGAACCAGATAGAAAGCTGCATTTGAATCCCACTGTATTTAGCATTTTTTTATAGGAAATAAATTGCGCAACTGCATATGAATATTACTGTATCAAACTTCTTTAGGACCACACACTGTAACTACTATGAAATGTGTTAAAACGTGCTACTAGCGTACTACCTCCCATAAAATTTGCATCTATGATTAAACAATTCCATAAACCCATTGGAACGATAACGGTAGTTAGGCAATCAATCAACAAATTAGGTCGATAATTTGATGTGATGATCTCAGTTGGCAGATACACATTTAATGAACGAGAACAGTGTTACAATCAATGTAAGACGTTGAAATTTATGAGAGAAAGGACCATCATACTAAAAGGATGATAAAATTAGTGAAACACAAGTGTGATCCCAATTGAAACTATGGCACATGCCTCGGAAGTAACCTAATTTCAAAAACTGACTCAACAAAAACAACCATAATAAATCAGAATCAAATAGGCCCACACGACGTAACCTGCCGATTTTGATGATAAATTGGAAAAGCAAGCAAGAATTACAGCAGGATTCCTTAACCTCCTTCAAAAAAGTAAGCTTAATTTAACGATAAGGGCCCCCATACATTATGATTAAACAATTAAACACTCAATTTGTCATCTGTTCCGTTCGTTTTCTCTTTTACAACCAGTCTTCCATAAGTTAAAGCACCGGAAAATTGGAATATCAATGTAGAACACGATACATATATGGATCACAATATCTGTAACACGCACCATCCAGAATTTGAATTTATAATATTCTTAAGCAATTAAAGCTAACACAAACACATAAAAAGCATTTAAGATGCAAATTCATTGAAATCGAACCTCCGATTAGGAAAAACCCGAGAAGAACTTACAGTGTGTGTGCGGGCCTGCGGGGGAACGGGAGAGAGCTGCGTTTGGTCTGCTGCTCGGCCTCCACAAAAATATCTGGCAGGCTACATATAGCCAAGTGTACGAAGCATAACTCAACAAATGAACGCCTGTACAAATAGTTCATTAAATTAATAACGGATTAACTATGTATTTAATTAAATTTTATCGATAATTCATCAGTAATTTAATTAAATTATTTTTTATTTTTTTAATTTAAAAAACACTAACAGGAATATATTTTATCTTTAATTAAAATAAATTTTATC